ACAACAAAAAAGTGACAAGGATGAGATTTTGCAATACTTTTAATGACTTTGTGTTTGTGAATAGCAGTGCGGTGTGAGCCTTTGGAGTGGTTACTGCTACATGAAGAAAATTCTATTAAATACTCAAGGAAACTATTTCACCTGGAGAATTTTGTATTACGACAGCAAAGCTGACGCTGGAAGCAAAAAACAAAAGTGTCAACACCGTCAGCAGTAGCAGTAAAAGTACACCCTTACAATATCCATTCAGTTAGGAAATAAAGTAGTACATAAATAAATATATTACTTTGCTTTGCATTATATACACATGCAACATAACCAGCTTAGACTGAGGTAATAGCTGTACGCACTTGCAGGACTGAAAGCCTGCTTTCTTATAAAAACATCATTTTCTGCTTTCAGGCTTTTCTCAAAAGAAAAAAAAAAGAATATAAAGGAGGGCATGAAGCCTGCAGGCACATTGCACTTTTTGTTTTTATTGGCCATTCCGTGTTTTTGCTCCTTCTTGTTGTTTTCCCCGCCGTGTCACTATGACACCTGGTCTCGCAGCCTGGACAGCCTCTGGGAGAGCTCATCCTGATGACGGCACGAAAGACGAGAGAGAAATCAGCAGATGGAGACAGCTAGGTCAAAGGAAACATTTATTACAGGAGCTTTGGTTTTCAATCATTCATAGTCCAGTTCGATATATTGATTTTGTGTGTTCTTAGGGCTGAAGAAAAGAACAGAGTTATTAAAACTGTAAATCTTTTATGTTCCGGCTCCTTTAAATATTTATACTTGTAGGTAGATTTAGTTTGCAGCCAGCATCATGTACACATTTTCAAAACAACAGACAGCAGGTCATCCTAGTGAGGGCTGCAGGTACTAAGATATTGTTAGCTATCTTCCCAGTCGTGCATGCCCGGAAACCAGTCAGTGACCACCTGGCGATCCAAAATCCTTGCAACTTCCAGAAACCTCCTAGGACCTGGCGTCCACATATGTGGACATCACATTTTAGGTTATTTAGACCAAAATACTTAATTACTCTACAAGGGCCTGATATCCACTTACGAGGACATTTTACTGCTACTGTTCTATCAAAATTTTAAACAAATATCTTCACATGTGGCTCTTATTTTTCTTAAAAACAGGAAAAGGTAAGAAAAAAAAGTGGCAATTCTTTGTTTTTACATTCATCAGGCCCCAATATGCCCAAATATCAAAGAGAAATTAAAAATGCATGCAATGGAAGAGTTCGGGTCTTAAGAAGTTAAAGATAAGTAACAAAGTAATCACACTAACAAAAAGGACAAAACAAACCAAAGAAAACCTCAATAAAAGACAAGTTTCCTTAAACAGGAAAAAAAATGATGATCCTTTTTGTGGCTTCACACGTTCCACAGATCCCACTGACTGACCCTTAATGGCATGTGAAGAACGTGTATCACTCAAATAAATTAAAGGAACACTTTGAAAACACATCAGATCTCACTGGGAAAGTAAATCACATCGATATCTACACTGATTGGACGAGGTAATGCGTTAGGAGTGAAGGGATGTCACATCGTTTGATGAAAAAGAAAATGATCAACCTGCAGAATCAATGTTCGATGTCACAGGCAGCATAACATTCTCCACAGCTTCTCATGACCCTTTCACGTCTGTCACATGTGCTCACGGTGAACCTGCTCTCATCTGTGAAAAGCACAGAGCACCAGTGGTGGACCTGCCAATCCTGGTGTTCTATGGAAAATGCAAATCGGGCTCCACATGCTGGGCGGTGAGCACAGAGCTCACTAGAGGACATCGGGCCCTCAGCACACCCTCATGAAGTCTGTTTCTGATGGTTTAGTCAGGCTAAAGCGTAATTTAAGGTCCCGTAAACGTGTCCTCCAGCGTACACACTACCATTCAGACAACGAGTGTATCACGGTTTTCACCCAACACAGACTTGCTCCTCTGCAGTTTTCCAAAATTCCAACTGCATGTCACTGAAAGCGGAAGTCATATGCGTTCGCTAAATGCTGACTGGTTGACAAGTGGGCTGGAATAGAGAAAGGAGCAACAGTGGAGTTTACTGGGAACTGGAGAACCGCAAAAAAAACCTTTAGTGACTTCAAAAATACAGCATGAAAAGCACAGACAGCGGGTCAGTGGACACTTTTCATTGATCTTTACACTCAGTTTCACACTTACACTGTTCTAAACAGCACAAGCAAGAGTAGCCCACACACTGGTCTGCAGGTAGATGGGCTATCCCCGGCTGCGCTGCCCTCACTGAACCATAAATTCGGCTTAACAATAACAGAGTGACCTGCATACTTATGGATTTGAAGTAGGTACATTCACTTGCCCCGTGGGATCAGCACAGCGGATGGATCAGCATGCTTGATTTGGCACAGATTTTTTTTTTGTCCACCAGAGGGTCGTGCTGATGACTCGCTTCAATAAAACCCTGTCAGATATCACACATAAACGACTCACGGACCGGTAGCGGTCCGAGGCCTGGGGATTGGGGACCGCTGCTCTAAAGGATGGATGTTTAACAGCTGGTATATAGGGCTGGGCCATGTCATACTGTTCACGGTAATACCGGTATAATGTTGGGCAACGATAAGAAATGAAATATCGCGATAGAATACGGGTAAAACGCGCATGCGCAGTGCCTTTGTTTTCATACACACAATGCAGAAAAAGCATGACGGCGACAGAGAATGAGAAGGGCGAAAGCGGATCGTTGAATGAAACGAATGAACCAGAATTGGTTTGTAAAAATGCTGCAACTTCAGTGGTGTGGAACTGGTTTAGCTTTCATCCATCAGATACACAACAAAGCACTATTTTTGGTAGAGCATGCTACCTGAAAATCTACAGTGCCCCTTATAATCCTGTGTGTCTTATGTATGAATTGTGGTTGTGTTTACTGACCTCTAAACGATTTTATTTGGTACACGTCGCTCAAAAATCTGTCAAACACACAATACGGTAATATTATGTTGAAGCACAGTACGTATCACTCTGCGAAGCTCCTGCCTACGAACCCGCACCACTTGATGGATTTTCGGAGCATTACGGCTATCGTAGGCAGGAGCCTCGCAGAGTGATACGTACTGTGCTTCAACATAATATTATCGTATTGTGTGTGTATAACCTCTTTTTTTAAGTTTTGTGGATATTATACATGGTTATGCTGAGGATATGTCGGCCAATTTCCACTGGAAATGCCTTTTGGTTAAACTGTCAGCAAGGAATTTGCATTTGCGCAGTTAAATTTTTTTATATAACTTTAATGCACATAAAAAACAGCTGCTTGTTTAAGTGAAAATACATTGCACTAATAAAGTTGTGGAGTTGTAAAGTATTTTGTCTGGTGTCAATTATATCGTCAGTTATATCGTTATCTCAAATTTTCAAATGTATATTGTGATAAATATTTTTGCTCATATCGCCCTGCTCTACTGGGATATCTTACCTGCTCTGCTGATGCCACAGATGAAGCCAGTGAAGAGGTCTGGCCTGCAGGAAGCTCCAGATTAAGATCCAAACTGAAAAATAAAAATCTAATTAATTAATATTAATGAGCCTTTTGTGTTTCAAAGCAGCCTTGTAAACAGTGAAAGAGGTGCATCCTCGATCTTAATGAAAGTCATTTGAATAAAGCTTTTAGTACAGTTCATTTTATACACTGCAGTTGCCAATTTCTTTCCTAATGCTTTTAGACAGCGTAGAGATCTTACCCGGCTTCATCAGCCATCTCGTGCAACAGCATATCCACTTCATTCTAGGGACCCAACAAGCAAATAGTAATTAAAAAAAAAAAAGGCCTTTAGAAATGAAACAACTGAATAACAATGCAGTGATCATGCATGCATAAGCAGCAACAAGGGCTCAGGAGTGTTTCCTTCTTGGGAGATAACAGGAAGTGTTACCTGAGGCGTCGTTAGAGTGGTGGTGCTGCTCATGGTATCCTCCATCTGAGCTGTCTGCACGTCAAGAGTTTCAAACTGCTTTTCAAACTTGTCCATCAGTGCAGAGATCTGTGCAGAAACACAGTGAGCCCAAAAAATGAATTAACGAATAGAAATTTCCTGAATAGTTTTTGTGCCATATGCTGCAAACAGCCTCTAACCTTCTCCAGGTTCATGCTTTTCAGTGTAGCATCCATAGACTTCACCACTCCAGACATGGATTTTGACACCTGGGAAAACAAAACATGAAATAAACCACTGAAGCTTGGGTGCTGTTTTCCAACGTGTCCACTAGGTGTCACTTTAACCCTTTTAACTAGACACTCTATCATGACTCTCTCACACTAGAAGCACCTCTAATAGTTCTAGGATGATGCTGATTAAAGATTAATCTAGTCAAAAACAAACCTACCATTAGGTAAACAAGCTGCGGTAAATGGGTTTATAATAAATGCGATGGCATTAGCTTTAATGAGAGGCAGCGGTATTATAGCAACACACAAGGGTGCTCAGAGGTGTTGCTCGGCTGTAACATCTCACGCACTCCTTCCATTTCTGCAGACATTATTACGCTTTACTCTGTGAAAAGGTGCCTTTCCTGTAGTGATGCTGAATTAAAGCAATTTAAAAGAGGCCGTCACTCTCACAAGAGCGAGGAGCTAATAGCACAAGGTCTAAAGCGCCTCTAATGACATTATGTTATTGGTTTCTTTTTGTTTGCATGTCTGCGAGCCCTTTTGCCTGACTCTGAAGTGGCTGCGCTCTTCACCTCTTCTGAAATAAGATGTCATTTTCAGAACATGCACAGTGAAAAAAATACATGCATAACATTTGATGTGGTGAACGAGCACACTCCTTGTAAATGTAGGACAAGAGGTTTTGATGTCATAGCACATGCAAGGCTACGATGAAATCTGGTTTACATATATAACCTTTTAAAAATGAAAAAAAACCCCACTATATTTACACATCTGAATGTGTGACAAATATCTGGAATAGTTGCAGTACACAACTATAATTACTTATATCATTCTTTAGAATCACTGCAATCCAAGAGAAGCAAAACTGATTTTGACTTTGAATGGAATGTAAAAAGCAAAGTACAACCAACTCAAGCCAGGGAACATTCTCTGTCTTAATGTATGCCATTAAAAGAGTTTTTCGGTGGTCATCGTTTACATTACAGTGGAAAAGCAAGAGAAGTGGCCTGCAAACCCATGACCCACAGTCCTGACCTGGTTCATAGTGACAGCTGTCTGGACCCTAGAGGCTACAGCGTCCACCCGGGCACTCATCCTCAAGAAGTTGATGGACTGGTGCTTCTGCCGGATGGCGTTCTCTGCATGGATCCTGGCTGCCTCCATATTACCCTTCTGGATAGCCTGAGAAACACAGCATACACACACAGTGTAACACGCGGTGCAGTTATACTGTGGGCCAGCTTTTCAAGACTCTAATAAGTGTAATAAACCAACCTGCTTCACTTTAGTTTTTTCTGACTTTTCCTCTTTATCACATTTCCTGGAGTTACGCTGTAGCTCCTTGGCAGCAAACTTCAGGTTGAACAAGTGTTCTTGAGCAGCTGGTCAAGGGGTTGTTTCATGTTAGCAGAGCACTGGTAATAAATCCAAATTACAATTTAATGCTATGAGGACGAGTCTGAATACATCTAGCTTATTTAACCCAAGTCAGTGGTTCTCATGATGCTAGCGAAAATTTAGCCAAATATAAAAAGAAAAACGTGAAAACAAGGTCAGGTTTTTGCTCATAACGACACAACAGAGCAGAACTTCCATGTATGAAAGAGTTAGCTTAAGCCCATCTTATGACTAGCTACGGTTTTGCTAGGCAAATGTACGTAAGAGTACAAATGAAAGGATACTTTCCATATTCGACATGATAAAAGTCTTTTTCTGAGACAACTACTGAGTTTCGTAATGTACAAAGTAGCATCCAGACACTCGCTTTTTTTCAACCGGAGATGCTTGTTTTGATTTTTGAGGGTTGTACCATACGGCAGTGTAGCGAGGCAAGATGCATCGGTTGCAGATACTTCCGCTTTTGTTTTAATTCGGTTAAAAAAGAGTGGTAGATTTTTTTATTTGTCTTTCTGTCCCCCAAAATGCTCTTATAATCGTGAAATATTAATCCATTGGTTAGGCAGTTAAAAAATAAATTCCATCGCTCGCAAAAAATGCTACTAAGTGTGAAAGATTAGGAATTCTCTTATCACGCATGCGCCAAAGAGCGTCTATTAGACACGACGACTATTCCCGAATGTTCCTTCTTGTTTTTGGTGGTATTTATGACCTTTTTTCCTCAACATTTGCATCTATATTTTATTAATAGCTCACTATTCGGCCCATATTTACACGTACAAAATAAGCTTTGTCACTAATTAATAAATTATCTGCATTAACAATGTCGATCTATGACTAAAACCTTTATATCGGGGCAGAAGAGAGATGTGTGAACCATCTTAGTTAATCTTTATCTTTGAATACAATCGCTGATACTTCTGGCCACCTTTCACCGTCGTCACACTTGATCACGATTCTGCGTGACGTGCTCGCGCCTTCTACGTCACGACCGTTGGAAAAGTGGACTGGGTGCGCGTGTCCAAAGCAAAGCAGACAAGTTCCATCCAGGCTAAAAATAGTTTACCCGGTATCGGTAGGTTGTGGTACACGTCTAGTGACGTCATTTGTGTGTGTGTGTGTGTGTGTGTGTGTGTGTGTGTGTGTGTGTGTGTGTGTGTGTGT